TCTGGATGCATTTTGATTTATGGAACAGAAACATTGTTTCATTTACAATGATTGAGCATGCTCCTCAATTTGTTTTCGGGGTTCTTGATACTTCCAGCAAGGGGATTTGGCATGTTGCCATGGTGTATGGCAACCAAGACTTTCAAGTCAGAAGGGATCTTTGGGAGAGCCTTGGTAAGAATTTGTCTGCAAGGGCTCCCACTATTGTTGCCGGTGACTTTAATTGTCTCCTCTCTAAGGAGGACAAACGGGGTGACAAATATTTTTGTACGACTAAAGGTCCGAAAGAGATGAAATTTTTTATGGCTAACCATGATCTTCATGATTTAGGTGTTATTGGCCCAAGATTCACTTGGTGTAACAATAAGCAAGGAACGGCTAGGATTTGGGAAAGACTAGACAAGTGTTTACTGAATTCCGCGGCTCTGCAGCTTGTTCATTATGCTTCGGTTAGACATTTAGCAAGGGTGGCTTCTGACCACTGTCCCATTGCCTTTAAATTTGAGGAGTCGCCGCGTGTTTTTTCTCGAATTTTTTGGTTTGAAGATTCTTGGAAATCCTATCCAGCTACTTGGAAGATTGTTTCGAATTCTTGGGGAAAGCATGATTTCGGCGAGGCTGCTGAGGTTTTAAATAGGAAAATCAAGAGAACTCTTAAGTCGCTCTACTTCTGGAATAGAAATAAGTGCAAAAATCTGAATTTGTTGAAGGATGAGCTAAAGGATGAAATTCTCAAATTGCAATTAGAAGAGCAATCAGAATGATGCCTTAGCTCGGACAAGTTGGCTTTACTATGTTCTAAAGTCAATGAATTTAATATTACTTTGTTCATGTTAGCTACTTGGTGGAATCAAAGAGCCAAGGCGACTTGGAATGATGAAGGCGACATCAATTCAAAATTTTTTCACGATTATGCATCAGCAAGAAGGAATGGTAAAATGAGCAGACAAATCAAGGATGGTAACAATATGGTTGTGAATGAGTTAGATCAGATTGAATCCATTTTCTTAAATTTCTTTGAGAACAAATGGAGATCCAGAAACTGTGTTAAGCTTAATTAGCCTTCGGCAAACCTGGAACAGATGCTTGATGATAATGACCGAAATTGGTTAGAGGGGGAATTCACTGAATAGGAATTTACTGCAGCAGTATTTCAACAAGGCTCTAATATATCACCTGGATTGGACAGGAGCACCTTTTCTTTTTTCAAATTTTATTGGAGCATTGTCAAAGAAGTTACTTGGAAGGCTATTGATCACTATTTCAAAACCGGTACTATGCACGGTTCATGGAAAGACACCTTAATTTTTCTTATCCCCAAAATAAAAAACCCGGTAACTCCTTCAAACTTTCGTCCCATTAGCCTTTGTCAAACCATTTACAAAATTGCTTCTACTATGATTGTGAATAGATTGAAATGTTGTATGCCTAAAATCATCTCCGAAGAGCAAGTTGCCTTTATTCCAGGTAGATCTATGTCAAATTATTGCCTTTTAGCTCATGAAATTTTTAATAAATTCAGAATTTTTAAAAACAAAAACGGTCTTATGGCTATTAAGCTTGATATGGAGCAAACTTTTGACAGTATGAGTTGGGATACCTTGAATCCTGTTTTGAATTGGTTCGGTTTTCCAGCTAGGATTTCCAATCTTATTTTGAATTGTGTGATTAACGTTCGATTTTCTATTCTTTTAAATGGCAAGAGCACTAGATGGATTGAAGCTAAAAGTGGGTTTCAGCAAGGATGCCCTATGTCTCCATACCTCTTTATCATGTGCTCTCAACTTTTATCAAATGCTATTACTCAAAGAGGTCACCATTTGGGTATCAAGATTTCTCCTAGTGCTCCGAATATACTCATCTCCTTTGTGCTGACGATGTGCTCTTATTCGGAACAACATCTTCTCGTATTATTAGAACTATAATGAAGATAGTCATGGATTATTGTGGCTGGACTGGACAGAGTATCAACAATGCCAGTGAGACAAAGCTTGAGAAGGAAACTTGGGAGGAAATACGGTTTTAAGGTTGTTACTGAACTTCACTACTTGGGCATTAAAATTGCTCTTAGGAGGATGGTGAAGAATGATTTTCAGTATATCATTGATCATGCTCTAGATAGGCTTAATGCTTGGGGAGCTAGATTTTTATCTTTGGCCGGAAGGATGGTTTTAGTCAAGTCCTCTTTCTTATCTTTGCCTATCTTTGCTTCAACTCATTCATTGGTCCCTAAGAGTATTCTTTATGAATTGGACAGACTTTGTCGTGATTTCATTTGGCATAAGGGGAATGGTGTTCATGGTCTTCATTATGTTGCTTGGGAGGAATTATACAATCCCAAAAATTTGGGTGGCTGTTCATAAAACATGCCCTTTGAGAGCTAGACTCTCTTGGAGATTCTTACATAATCCTTCGTCTTTGCTATATAAATGTATTGTTGCTAAATACGGTATGAACATTTGGAATGGTACGCACAAAAGCAGAAATTTTGCTGCTTGGTCTATTTTACTGGATGGAGCTTCTTTTCTAAAACCAATTACTAAATGGAAGATTGTTAACGACCAATGTATTAATGTCTTAAATGACATTTGGATACTGAACAGGTGCATTAACAAATGGCCTTTATTAGTTGATTGTATTGGTTTTGACGGCTTGATATTAAAACATTTCATTCTTCCTGATGTTCACTGGAACGTGACGGAATTGAATCGATTCTTTCATCAGGATCTTGTTTGCCTGATTTTAAATCATTGTAAGATCCATGTTGGTCTCATTGACATCGTGGAATTGCTATTCAGTTCTCAGGGAGATCTATTTCTGCTTTGGCCTATGAAGATTCCGTTAAAAATAGTGGCTATGATGATGATTTTGGTTTCTCGGTCTGGTTAAGGAAATCAAAACTCAAGCCCAAGGTTGAGTTTTTTTGGCGGAGGATGAGCAAGTTTGCTTTACCAACCAATGAATTTCTTAAATATACAAGAATTAGCCATATTGACTGTTGTGTTAGAGGTTGTCATGACGTTGAGACTTGTTCTCATATTGCTGTTCACAGCAGTTATTTGACTGATTGACTGATATCATCAGTAAGTTGAGATCTTGGGGATTCAATATTCCTATCGTTCAATCTCTAGATAGCTGCTTATCCCAACTGAGAAATTTATCGAACAATAGCTTGAATATTGTTAAAATCTACTGCACAGCCGTTTTCTACTCCTGGAAGTGCCGGAATGACAACATTCATGATAAATCTGTCTTGTCTGTTTCTGTCATTGCTGATATAATTCTCTCATCTACTATGAACAAGTATCCAATGCTAGTTGACTGGGGTGCTTCTCTCCGCTTGGAGTCTAGCTCTCTATGGCACCCCCCACCTGTAGATTGGCTAAAAATCAATGTGGATGCTTCATTATTAGACTCTAACTTGGCAAGCATTCGTGGTATATTTAGAGATTTTAAAGGTCGTCTTCTTCTTGCTTTTGGAAAAAAGAAGATGCATTGGGACATTAATCAACTTGAGCTGAAGGCCATCTCTTCTTTACAAGAATTTCTTCATGATTGGATGTTTGGTTGTAAAGGCATAATAATTTAAGGTGACAACTACAATGTGATTAAACTCCTTCAAGATTCTATGATGAAGTCAAATAATTCAGCCAACAACTTGATTTCAGAGAAGATGGCTTTCTTACACGACTTTAGCAAGGTCATCTTTCATCATATTCCTAGAAATGGTAATAATGCTGCTGACTTGTGCGCTAATCTTGCTTTAAACAATAGTTTTTTGTTTTGATTCTTCCTCTTTCTCTCATATTCCTTCTTCCTTGTATAGTATTTTAAAGAAGGAATATGATACATGTCTTGATACTTAGTTTGTAACAGCTTTCCCTTTTTCCCTTTAATGCAATTTGCATTCCTCCAAAAAAAAAAAGGAACAATAATGAAAAAGCAAACTTTAAGAAATTGAAATTAATTGCATAATCTTCATCTCCTTGCAAATTAACATATACTTCTAGATATCAATATAATCTACTTGACGAGTAGACCACAACAGGACACTTTTTGATGATTTTTGTAAAAATTGATATTTTGAGGTATAATTTAATTAAGGAAATTTCGTACTTCTATTTTATGGAAATTTGATATTATAGTTTTATCTTTTAAAATTTATCTTAACAAATTTAATTGGGTTTTTTTTTTTTTAAAGTTAAGATAGCAAAAATAAAATTTCCTATTAATTCAAAGTAGCGCCTACACAATAATAGATTCAAGTTATTTCCTTCTTTCATATTATGATCAAAGCAATAATTTTTACGATAAGATTATAATCTTTTCTTTTATAATAGATTTTCTAAAATCATTCATCAATTATGTAATCAACATTCAGTGTATGCAAGTTTTCCCACAATAGATTGCAGTAAGCTAAAGAGTAATAATAAATCAAAATGCAGAAAAGAAAGTGCAAATCAATATGTCGTAGTTCAACAACCATCTGACTTATAGTCCATCCTTGAGTCATCCTCTCAAGATTTAATTCACACCTGCACTAACCTTAATCAATAATGTTAACTTGTATGTAGTTGTGTTTGAGATTATCTAATTATTGAATATAAGCTTATTCTCATCGGGCCAACACAGCGCCATAATCAACAGTGAAGGGATTCCAAATGAGAGGAATTTAGGAGGCAATAATTCAAATTTAGAGTAATACGCCTATACAGAGTTCATGCTTGCTGTGGTTGCTGGATGGCTTGAGTTGGCCTACTTTTCTGACTTATCCAAGTCTGGTAGGTGAACGGGTTCAACGGCCTAGTCTGCTCTTGTTTTGAGAACACCTTCCGAATTCACAATGAGCCTTCTTAGTTTTTCAATTATGTCACTACTTTTATCTATTTCTTGCTTATGATGATAAGATGCAGCTTTGGTCCTAATCTTATGATCTAAATGCTCTTTCACATGATTACTTTCCATTCATGTTCTGATTGTTTGACTTTTCTGTTTATCAGGATTAAAAAGAATGGCGTAATGTTCCATGATTTTGTAAAGTTTTGTGGTAGTCAAAATGAAGAAAAGGTTATTCAAAGAAGACCAATTTCAGCATTTAACAATAGGATCTTGGCAATTATGGATACTCAAGTAGATTCACAAGGAGATGAAAATGATAAGCATCTTTTTAATAGGAGCACAGTCCATGTTGAAACACCACCAAGTGAACAAATGAATGAACATTGCGAGAGAAAACATTTTAATAAACTTCAAGGATCAAAGTACATATGCTACAGCTGATGCATTATCAACATTTCCTTTTTAATGTAAATCTATAGCAATTCTAAATTATTGTTGTTGTTGATTTTTGTAGTAATACTTTAGCTATCACGGATTCTCAGGGGAATTCACAAGGAGATGAGGAGAATGTTGGTCTTCATGGAAATATAGAAAATAAGGAAACTACATCATATAAAATGGTGAATGCAAAGCGCAAGAAAAAACACGCCAACAAACTTCAATATCCAGAGTACGCATTATTAACTATCTTCTGTGCTGATCCTTTATTCTCTTTCTACTTTTAGGTATTCTATTTAGTTGTATTTAATCACTTCAATTTTTGCTCTGAATGATAGTACTTTGGCAAATAAGGATTCTCAAGCAGATTCACAAGGATATAAAGCTGATTTGGGTTTTCTTTTCCCACACAAGGAAACTTCATCAAGTGAAATGATTAAACAGACTAGAAAGAGAAAACATTTTAATATACTTGGGAGCTCAGAGTACGTGCATTTCACGAAAGAAGCAACAGTCATTTTGTTCAAGCTCATCTTTTTTCTTTTTTACTTTGTTAGTTTTTGAATCATTCATATTATTGTGAATAGTGATACTTTGGCTATTAAAGATTCTCAAAGAAATTCAATGAGGGAAGAAGATGATGTTCTTCATGGGAATACAGCTCACAAGGAAGCTACGTCAAATGAAATGATGAATACAAAGCCCAAAAGAAAACATTCTAACAAACTTCCGGCCTAGTATGAGATTATTTGATCAAAATTGTTTTTTTTTTAAGTTTACCTTTTAGTAGTCATTTGTTACTCTTGTTATTGAATGCATAGTAGTCCTTTGATGCTAACGAAATGTTGTGGAGATGACGGGAATTTGTGGCTTTCTAATATAAAGACAACACATAAGGAAATCTCATATAAAATGAAAAATGGATGTTGCAAAGGGAAACATGCCAGTAAATCTCAAAAGCACAGTCTCTTATGTTGATTGAGCTGACCATGTTTTGATCTACTTGTTTAAGGTTCAGTTTGATTCACTATAAATGTTCAAAAATTTTGAATTTCAACTCTGAAAGTGGTCACACTGAAGTGAATTGCAGTGATATATGTTATGCAGGAACCCTACTGTGCTTATTTGGGCTGAATTGAGTTTCTCTTTTACCCATCCTCACATTATACATTATTATTATTACTATTTTAAGTTAAATATAATATTCTAATCTATCAACTCATTAGATAATTCAATGTTTTATTAAAGATAATATAAAACGAATGGTGACTTTTTAGCTGAAAGATTGAAATTCACCCGCTTTGATTGTGATTTTCAAGAATGAGACCTTTAATTCGGTTTCAGCCAAATAAATTTTTGAAATCACTTACAGAAGTGAGATTAATTGCTTCTAGACACTTAATGATATTAAATTACTGCTGTTTTCTGTGAACAGTGATACTTTGGCTATTAAGGATTTTCATGGAGGTTCACAAGGTGATGAGCAGAATGTTGGTCTTAATGGGAATATAGCGAGTTTGGGAACCACATCAAATGAAAAGATGAATGCAAAGCACAAGAAAAATCACACTAATAAATCTCGATCGTCAGAGTATGCACTATACAATTTCGTTTAAGACTTTTAATATTCCTTTTCTTTTTCCATTCAAGTATTTTTTTTAGTCTTTAATCACTCTTGCTACTGCTGTGAATTGTAATAATTTGGCATTTAGGGATTCTCAAAGAGATTCACCAGGAGATGTTAAGGAAGTTGGCCTTCCTAATGTAAATATAAAACCAACAGAAACTGAAAACAAAATAACTAATGTGATCAAGAGAAAGCATTCCAATAAACTTCAGGCATCAGAGAATGCATGTCATTTAATATGGCAGTCTAATATCTCTGCATAGTTATTTTGCCATTTTATGGATAAATCTTGCATCTTTAGTGTACTTATTATGCATGCTTTCATTGCTTTCTATCACAGTTTGGCGAATGAAATTCATGCCTTTGTTAAAATCAGTTCTTCAATATAGTAATGATTTGAGATTTATTTACGGCATTAATCTAATATGACATCCAATATTGAAATAACTGTTTTTCATTCTTGAGCTATGACTAAATTTGAACCTGGGCTAGTTATAAGTAGTTCATTTATTTTTGTTATTGCTAATTTAAGTTGTAGTGTTATTTAATTAAGGTTCATCACTAAGTTCATATATTTTTATATTGTTTTAGGAGATTCTTATGAATGATATTTAGAGTGATGTGCTTTGGGCTATATGCTTTTAGTAGACGACTGTCCTGATGTGTGAGGCCTCAATTAAATAAGTGAAAAATTATGACTGACTTGATCATAACTATTTATTATATGGAACTATTGGGCCAAACCACTAGTTTTGTAGAGCCGTTGGGCCAAATTACTTGTTAGAGGATATATACTACATCTTTATTATACTTGTTAGAGGATATATACTACATCTTTATTAATATGATATTGTTTGAGAATAATGTTAGTGATATTTTCGACTGGGCATTTACTTTTTGTGAGTTGAATTTATTCTTGAGTTCATCGCCTTTGCTTAACTATTACGGAGGGTGGATGATTCTTGTTTTAAGTTATTAGATGATTAAATTATATTTTAAAACATTAGATTTAGTGAAGATATTCTGAGTTATCGATGGAGGGGGATGGCCAAATTCTTTCAAGCATGAATGAATTGATTTTGGAAATATGGTAATGCATGCTCTTTAATTAAAGATTTGAATCCCATGAATTAAGTTAAATAAGATACAATGAAATAAATATATTAAAAGCAAAATCATAGAATTAATTAATGACGTGGTCTGCCCATATATGGATCAAGGCATTTAATGCATTAGGCAAATTTATAAAAATTTTAAACTATTTGATTTTTGAAATTTGAATAAAAGGAAAAGAATTATGTCAAATATTTCATAAAACTAATTCAAATATTCATATGAATTTATTTAATTCAAAATTTGGCCAACACATAATTTTAAATGATAAAAATAATAAAAATAATATTCGAGAGAAAAAAGTAATAGAGGAGAAAGAAAATAAAAAAGAATAATATGTTAATTTGAACATAATAGTTTTATCATGTGCTGTAAATTAATGTAATAAATTTATGCATGGCTAAATATGGATAAGTGACTAATAAATAATGCAACTTGTATTAAATGTTGCATGATAAAAATGTAAATGGATAAATGTTCCTTTAATATAAGTAATCTTGTTTATCAGGAAATAATTATTATAAATAATGTCAAGCAATATTTAGTAGTTTTGTAAAATATCTTAAATAATTTTGATTATATTTATTTTTTGCCCTTTGTGAGGAAGATTTATCATGTCACGTAAAATAGTATAATTACCAAACAAATCCTGACTCATGTTATTTTTAGTATTCTTGAACAAGCAATATTTAGTAATTAAATCAGCCTTTGCCTAAAACACTTGAAATTAAAATCAATTATTTTCAACCATATTTTTATTATCATTAAAATCCAAAATATGAGTCATTTGGCTCATAGGGTTAACATTGTTAGGCTTAATCTAATATTTGAGTTGCAATACTACAAAAGCATTTCGAAATTGAGGATTGTAATCTTGACTTTCTGGAAATTCAAATAGATTCATAAGTCACGAACTTCAAATCAAGTTAATTAAAAATATTAAACAAAAATCAAAACTTTAAATGATAATTATAGGATTTGTCCTTGAGGAGGTGTAAGTGATACTTACGATCCTTACAATTGTTATAAGCCTATTTCAATTAATTTGTGTTTTACAAAAAAATGTAAGCCTCATCCCAATTGCCTGGCCATTACAAAGATTACAAGCCCATATAATTAAACCAAACTTACTTGCTTTTATCTATAAGATAAGGCTATATGACTCATTAGTAGACTTTCTTATTCTTTGAAGTTATAGGTCCTATTCATGGACCTTCCAATAGATGTAAACCCATCCCAATTAATTTGAGCCTTCGAATGGATGCGATCCTCAACTCAATTTAAATTAAGGCCATCTCCCATGCTAACAAGCTCAACAATCAAAATCAAATCCACCAAGAAAATCATATAAACAAAAAAGTTCAATATTTAATTTAATAAAAAAAATATAAACAAAAATGTTCTGCGTCTTAGATAAACTTCTTCAATATAAGCTCAATCTCAAAACTAGTTGTGTTAAATTTTCCTATGAGTTTTTTTGGTCATGCTCAATACCTTTGAACTGTACTAGGCCATATTTTGCACCTCAAAATCATTTAATGAATAATGGTATGGTCGGCCTTTTGGCGGTAAATGTATTGACGCTAATCTCAAAAGGACATCTTTTACACACATTTTCTTCTTAATTTGCTTGGAAAACCCAAGAGGAGGCAACCCATGGTTGCTAATTAGCTCCATGGATGTTACGGCTTATGGCTTTCTAACTTTTTGGTAGATTGAGTCCACTGGTATGTATGAGAAATTATGAAATTTTGATCATGTCTATCTCTGCGCCAACCATTCCCCTTTCAATTAAAATCATGTATAACTACTGAATTTGGCATGACATACAAATCTGAGCAATCTCATTCATTAAGAGTGCTTTCTTGTGGTTGAGCCTATAGGAAGTTTCGAACTTAGATCTAAATAAATTTTGACATTATCAGGAGAAATCTAATTAATGTATACTTAACTACTACAATCAAAACTGCTGTTGATCAACTTCACTTACACATTGAGGAGGCTCGCAGGGAAGGGTGGGAGTTTCCAAAGTGATACGTGAACTAATGGAACCTACAAAGAAAATGATTGGGAAGAACGATTCATAGTTTCTCTCTTAGTATTGGAAACGAAACTCAAATTTTATTAACTTATGTCATCTAGTGTGGTATACTTGTCAATCATAGTATGACTAGAATTCTCAATAATGGATTTGACATTTTTAACAGTGATAGCAAAGAGCAATTTTTAGAGGTAAATTTAGTGGTCCGATGCAAAATAGTATTCATCCAAACGATTTAAATAAAAAACAAACGTTTATTAATTCATGGACCAAACAAATTGCTATTTAGTTGGCACAGCCAGGAAAATTTGCTCAGAAAAGAAATGTTGATAATATCGAATTTTTCAACAATTTCTGAATAACGTTATGCGAGTAATTTATTTATTTCTATTTCAAGGAGTAAGTAGTCCATTGCCTTAAGCACAATCTGTATTTTCACCACGGTTCTATTATGTCACTTTGTTAGTTTCTTATTTCATGTCGTAATTAGTGATTTGAGGATAATTCATATGATAAACATTGCCTTCTATTTAAGTATTGCTCATTTTATTCATCGTCTTGTCAGTTCCATGAATGAGAAATTTCACTTCGTGTAGGAATGAATCCAAGGGAAATGATGATGGACTTGCATCAAAGAATGACCAAAGTGGAGATGCCGTGAAGGTTTGCAATTAATTATTCATCTATGATCCTTTCTCTTGGATTGAACCTTTGTACATCATTCAATTAATTTTACTGTATGTTATTGAAATTTTTTGTACTGAACTGTTATGCTTTTTTTTTACTTAAAAATTGGAAATTCAAAATTTATTGAAAATGGTAGAGTTAAGATTACAAAATATTCCAAATGATTTACGAAGACACTTCAGGCAATACTCATCAGAAATGAATGTAAAATGAGATTCATAACTCCAACCACAGGTAGTTGGGCAAATTAATGATGCGATTATTTGAATTATTAAATTGATTAGTTTTTGTCGTGTAATTTATATCATGTTTATAAACAACAATCTTGGGATTTCTAGAGAGAGAAAGGTTAGTCTTTCTGTTCGAATCGGGATTTCCCGCGATCTTCCTCAGCCGGTGGAGCAGTCGTCGGATGTTCATCGGCATTTCTCCGCCGATGTCATGGCTGCTCTGCGTCTTGCGGGTTCTCTACGTACCTATGGTAGAGTCACGAATTGTGTAGTTATCAGGGAAGGGGCGCGACCTCCGGTACGTCAATTTCTGGTTGAAGGCAAGGGAAAGAAGGTGTTGACGGATAATGTAGCGGATAGGAGGACTGAGTCGAGACCTCCGGTACGTCCACTTCTTGATTCTTTGTTGTCGAATGATGTTACCGTGAAGGGTGATAGATTTTCTGGTTCTTTGGAATCGAATGAGGGCCGATGTATGGGAAATGGCCTGAAACTTGTGAATGGACAGAAAATGGATGAGAAGTGTGATCTTGGAATGGGCTCTAGAAAGGATCTGATAAAGGATGGATTCTTGGTTAATAACACGGAAGTGTGTAATAAACGGGATGATGTGGAGGAGGTTGCTACCTGGACAAAGCCGAAGCACATCAAGATTAATTTTAACAGAGAATTAGTTGAATTATCTGAAGATGGGATTGCCGTTAGGTTGAATTCAGATATGGAGGAAAAAAATAAACAAGTTCTGAAAAAGTCGTTAGTTATAAAAGTATTGGGAAGTAATGTGCCTTTCTCAGTTTGCAGCATTGAACTGAGAAGGCAATGGAGCAAGTTTGGTGGATTCCATATGACGTCTATTGGCATGAATTGGATTTTGTGTTCGTTCAATACGGAGGAGGCCGTGGAGGAAATCCTCAATGGTGGCCCGTGGTATGTTAGTGGATACATCGTAGGTATGGACAGATGGTCCCCTGATTTTGATCTCTATTCTTTCAAGGGAATTTCCGCTCCTGTATGGATCAGATTTCTTTGTTTACCGTTATACTGTTGGGATGAGGATAACATAGCGAGAATTGCATCTCGATTCGGAGTACCAATGTATATAGATGGGAATACTTTTAGATGGGGGAAACGGGAATTTGCTCGTTTCTGTGTTAAAATTGACTTGGAGCAGAAGTTACCGAATGGGGTCTGGATAGAAGGATCGGCCGGAAGATTTTTTCAACGGGTGGAGTATGAGAAGATTGATTTGCTATGCTATCATTGTGGTCGAGCGGGTCATGTTAAGGCTGAATGCCCTGACGGTGTTATTCAGGGGATTGCTGATCAAAATAGAAGAGATCAAGAAGCTGATTCAGGTGAAATAAAGGAGCTAAATCCTAAAGTAAATCCTTATGTTATAAAAACTGAATATGAATCCTTATGTTATAAAAACTGAATATGGCCCATGGATACATGTTCATTTTAAGAACAAACGGTTTACTAAGGAGAGAGCTGTTGGAGGAAGAACGAATAATCAGAATGTAGTCAGGCTGGAGCTTACGGGGAACAAAAATCAGCAGAGTAATATTCAGAAGCAAATTCCAGGTGAAAAGGGGGTTGATGTTGCTGTGGATATTCCGGGAGTGATTACTGATAAAGGGTCTGATGGAAAGATAACTGTTGAAGGCAAGAAACCAACAATATCTGTTAATAACAGGTATGCCGTTCTGCTTGAAGACATTGGTGAAGAATCACTGGAAATTACTGAGGAGATCGGTCAAATGAAGAATACGGCAATCCTCTGTAATGAGGTGGTTGATGCTGCTAAAACTGCAGGTATGGTAGTGGGTGATCCAGGGAGTATGGAAATTGATGTGATTGCTCACACTGGGATTAATAGGAATAAACTTGCCAAGGAAGTAAAGGGTTTGGGATCAATAGAATCAGGATATAAAAAGAAGAAGAGGGAGGGAAGAATGATTTCCTTGAGTGGGGAGGGATCCCCAACAAAGTTTTAATGTCTTCTCTATTGTTCTGGAATTGTAGGGGGGCTAGGAAGAAGGAGGCCTCCTTGTATTTAAGGGAGATGGTTAGAGATCAGGACGTTTGTTTTATTGGGCTTATGGAGACCAAGATGAGCAACATTGACAGAAGGGATGTGGATTGTCTCATTGGGAACGAATGGGAGTTCTTCCATTACCCTGCTGTTGGTCTTTCAGGTGGTGTTTTGGTGCTTTGGAATAAGAAGGTTGTATCTTTTGTGGTAAAGGAGACTTCTTCTCAATTGATTATTGGATACCTCTCGGTGCCTAGCCTGGGGTCTAGGAAGGTGGCAACGGTGTATGGGAGCCGGTGTTGCAAGTAGAGGGAGAATCTTTGGAGCCAACTTGAAGAACACATGAAGGGCTCTATTCCTTCTATTATTGGTGGGAATTTCAACTGTATTTTGAACAAGGAGGAGAAGAGAGGAGGTAAGAGGTTCCTTTTTTCCAAAGGGCCTAGAGATATGAAGTGTTTTATGACAAATTCGGATTTTCATGTTGTGAGAAGTACAGGACCAAGGTTTACTTGGTGCAATAACAAGGAAGGAGCCTCTCGGATTTGGGAGAGGTTGGACAGATGCTTGGTGAATTCAGGGGCTCTTCAAAAGCTTCCCTTAGCTTTCACTAGACATTTAGCAAGAGTGGCCTCGGATCATAGTCCAATTGTCTTCAAATTGGATGAGAGGGTGCCTCTCAGGGTGAAGAACATCAAATTTGAAGACACATGGAGATCTTATCCAGCAGCTAGGAGTATTGTGTACCATTCATGGAAGAAAAAGGATTATGGTGATGAAGGTATGATCTTAAAGAGAAAGCTTAATAAAACGCTCAAAGCATTATTTTATTGGAATAAAAATAAATGCAAAGACTTGAATGAGCTTAAGGAAAATATGAAATGGGATATACTTGAACTTCAAAATAAAGAGGCTGAGGGTGAAGGATGGACAGGAGATGATCTTCTTCTGCTTAAGAGCAAAGTCCACAAGCTTAATGTAACATTGAGGAGACTATCCACTTAGTGGAATCAAAGGGCTAAGGTAAGGTGGCATGAGGAAGGAGATATAAATTCAAAATTATTTTTCAATTTTGCTACGACAAGAAGGAATGGTAATAGGGTGGTTCAAATTAAAGATGTGCACAATGAGTTGCATGAGGAGGATGAACAGATCGAGAAGGTGTTCATTCAGTATTTTGAAGCTAAGTGGCAGTCCAGAAATTGTGTTCTGTCGGGTTGGCTTTCGATTTCTGAGAACCAGAGACTGAATGCGGAGGAGGTAGCAGCACTGAGCTCAGATTTTTCTGTGACAGAGCTGCAGACTTCGGTTTTTCAGCAGGGGAATAACAGATCTCCAGGCATGGATGGAGTCACTTCGTCTTTTTACAAATGCTATTGGGATATTGTGTGGGAAGATTTGTGGAATGCTGTTAAAGGCTTTCTAAATTCTGGTCATATGAACAAGGATTGGAAGGACACACTTATTGTTCTGATTTCAAAAATAAAAAACCCTTTGATCCCATCTAACTACAGGCCGATCAGTTTATGTCAAACTAATTACAAGATAGCAGCTACTATTCTAGTTAACCAATTGAAGAGCTGTATTTCCAAAATGATTACTGAAGAGCAAATGGCTTTTATTCCGGGAAGATCAATTTCTGAGCATTGTCTGTTGGCTCAGGAGATTTTTCATAAATTCAAAGTCTCTAAAACAAGAAGGGGTTGATGGCTTTAAAGCTGGATATGGAGCAAGCATACGATAGCATGGGATGGCCTACTCTTGGTCAAATACTTAAATGGTATGGGTTTCCTCCTTTGTTTTCTAACCTTCTCATGGAATGTGTTGTAGATGTGAGGTTCTCTATTATTATCAATGGGAAGAATTCTGATTGGATTAATGCTCAAAGTGGCTTCCGTCAAGGATGTCAATTATCTCCATACCTCTTCATCATGTGCTTCCAATTGATGTCTAATTCTTTGGAGCAAAGAGGACAAGAGCTTGGTATTAAAGTATCTCCTAGAGGACCAAGGATTACACATCTTCTCTATGCAGATGACGTATTAGTCTTCTCTTATGTCTCCTTGGGTTTATCTAAAGCTTTGAAGATCATTGTTGAAGACTTTTGCAAGTGGACGGGCCAAAGGGTTAATGTCAACAAATCTCAGATTTTTTTTGGCAAGGCGGTTAGATATCCCATGAAGAAGAAGATTGCTAGATTGTTTGGCTTCAAAGTGGTTAAGGAGATAAACTATCTAGGGATAAAGATGTCTCTCAATAGATTAAAGATAGGTGATTTTCAAGAAGTTTTGAGCAATGTCATGGATAGACTCAATGCCTGGGGTAAGAAGTCTATCTCTTTGGGTGGTAAGATTACTCTTATCACAAGCTCGTTGTTATCTATGCCAAACTTTCTTATTACACATTCTTTGGTTCCTAAAAGAGTGTTGTATGAGGTGGAAAAACTTTGTAGAAGTTTTATTTGGCACAAATCTGATGGAAATCAGAGTATGCATTATGTGGCTTGGGGAGATTTGTGTAAACCTAGAAGTATGGGAGGAATGGGACTTCAGTCTCCTGTGATGAGAATTGGCTCTTTGAGATCGAAGCTGGCCTGGAACTTCATGCAAAAACCAGATACTTTATTTCATAGAACAATCATAAGTAAATATGGGGAGGAGATTATGAAAGATACATGTAAGAAAGCAACTTCCAGTGCCTGGAAAATCTTA